GCCGTAATTATGCAGCTCGCATATGTTATGACGGCCGTAATTATGCAGCTCGCATATGTTATGACGGCCGTAATTATGCAGCTCGCATATGTTATGACGGCCGTAATTATGCAGCTCGCATATGTTATGACGGCCGTAATTATGCAGCTAGCATATGTTATGACGGCCGTAATTATGCAGCTTGCATATGTTATGACGGCCGTAATTATGCAGCTCGCACATGTTATGACGTCCGTAATTATGCAGCCCGCATATGTTATGACGGCCGTAATTATGCCGTCATAACATATTAAATTTCCATTTACAGATACCAAACTAAATACTGTTGTGATTTGGGAATGTTATCTATATTGTCTCTTTGGGTCTTCGTTGACGATAGATAGGCCTTCATTTTGTTCCATTCACCTGAATGTTCAATTAGGAGTCAAATTAAAATTTTGATTCGTTTAGTGATGAATTTTGGGTTCAACGTTCCAACAGTGAATCATCATCACTTGATATGCACCGTATCAACGATCGCAGGGAAGATGAGCCTCCGTATCAACGGTACTTGGAAAACGAGTCATCATTGTTGAATCTTGACTTGCTATGCAGTATCTAACCGACCTCAGTTCGCAATTATGGTGTTCACTACGAGTTAAACTCTTCTGCCTGATCTGACTCCAAAAGATCTTGATACAATATTTGGTCGGTCGTCAAGGATACAAAAGGATTTACAAAAATTATTTCCTTTATTTCACTCAAATCTTTAAGCTTCCCACAAGTTAACCATCGAATCAATTATTTTCGCTTGCAACGTTAAATTTTTGTCATCGTTGAATCGATTTCGACTCGAAATAAGAGCTACGGGCGGTAAACTAGCTACGAAAACGCACTGCACTCGAAAATTTAGAGCTCGCAATTAAATATCGAACTACCAAATATCTAACATAATTCCAACTCGACAAACTATAAAGTCACCGTATCAACGGTCCCAGGCAAGACGAGTCACCGTATCAACGGTCCCAGGCAAGACCAGTCACCGTATCAACGGTCCCAGGCAATACGAGTCACCGTATCAACGGTCCCGGGCAAGACGAGTCACCGTATCAACGGTCCCAGGCAAGACCAGTCACCGTATCAACGGTCCCAGGCAATACGAGTCACCGTATCAACAGTCCCAGGCGAGACCAGTCACCGTATCAACGGTCCCAGGCAAGACGAGTCACCGTATCAACGGTCCCAGGCAAGACGAGTCACCGTATCAACGGTCCCAGGCAAGACGAGTCACCGTATCAACGGTCCCAGGCAAGACAAGGCACCGTATCAACGGTCCCAGGCAAGACGAGTCACCGTATCAACGGTNAGAACGTGCACCGGGTGCGGGCGGTGATGGACGAGGTGTTTGGGGATGAAAACATCGTTTCTCAGATCGCGTTTCGCACCACTACTGGCCCTGTCTCTTATACACATCTAGATGTGTATAAGAGACCTTCATAATTGTGAATCAGTAATTGGCTGAGACCCTTACTTCGGGTGCAGGAATAATTCGTGCACGCCGAGATGGAGCGGCATAAGCACAAGGATATGAAGTCCCGCTACAATGCCTCTCGTACACAAATCGGTCATCATGGGCGACCTGGGGCACACAAATGAAAATAATGTGATGGCGCTCGGAGCATGAGGCCCAAACACGAATGTGAAGAGTATCAGATGTTTATATATGCATCAGCTGTGAAGCTACCTCGCATCGAATGATTTATTGCAATGCAGACACTTTCATCTAAACGAACCCACCTGAACCAGCACTGCCCCTCTTCACAGCAGCTCCTGGTCACCTCAGATAAGAGAATTCGATACGGTGACTCCGGCGAGTGCACAATGGCTTGGATATCAACGTCAGTTTGAAGACTTCGGGAAGTTCTTTGAAGACTTAGGCAAATTTTTTGAAGGCATGGACTAGATAAGAATGCTACCGCAGATGACACTGTCAGCCGGAAGCCTGGAAAGTGTTAATACGCACGTGTCTCGAGAGTTCTTGAGAGCATATAAGTACTCATATCATCAATCAGTTAAAATAGCAAGTTCACCAGGAGTAATTGCAAAGAAAATTCACCAAATATTCATGAAACATTTCGTAGACCAGCTTCATCAGCAGATCAAAAAATAAATCTTTAGAGAATACAAGTAAAATCAGCTGTAAAAAATCCACATATCCACGAAAAAACCTAAGTGACGAGAAAACGGCAAAAAAATTTTATAGAGTTACAATATCAAGAAAATAAGAAGTAGCAGCGTTATCAATACAAGGTTTCCGTTTAAAAATATACAGTGATTCTAAAATCCTTGGATCGGGCACCATATGTGGCATCGAGTATTTGAAATCGCTCTCAGATGCAGTCACGTTGCACTGTCCAGCATAAAAGCGCACAAGTGAGAAGGCATGGAAAATGACATGTTCGAACGAAAGCTCATAGCGCGATGCTCAGAAACACGTGTGTAGACCACGTCATTCCGACGTATGCTGATGCGCAGAGCACATAACTTCATTAATAGACCAGGGACTATACTTTCAAAAAAGTTAAGAGATCGTAAGTTCATCAGCCTATCATTGACGGCCTTTCAAGCAAAATCCACCAATCATAGACAAGAAAATAGAGCGTAAGTACTTACGTTCACTATACTTTCAAAAAAGTTAAGAGATCGTAAGTTCATCAGCCTATCATTGACGGCCTTTCAAGCAAAATCCACCAATCATTAACAAGAAAATAGAGCGTAAGTACTTACGTTCACTTAGCGAGGTTTGAAAGTATGGCCCCAGGTTAGAAAGCATCTGGGCAGGAATAACGTCCTGCTATCTGAAGACGGAACCAATTTTGAAATAATTCGCCAGCAAAACATGCAAATTAACATTCGTGAAATCTGAATATTATTTTTTCTGCACCAGAAGCGCCTTGACACAACAACGCGTACGTACAGTTCCTTCTTCATGAAAATGTAAATCGTAAGGTTTTTATGTGGCTTTGTCGAGGTCTCGACACTAAAGTTTTCATCTTTTTCGTGTATATTTGTATATTCACCGTTAATTCTGCAGGTATTATCTAAGTTTTTTAACTTCTAATGCTGGAGTCTTGAACGTTTTGATGGTCATATGGTGAATTGACATGACGTTTCCTTTGCATTAAATTCTTCTCGAGAATAATGTTGACAACATATATTTCTTGGATCTTGTTTTTATAATCTGATGATATACATTATTTATTCTCTGTCAAAAGACCGTATACGATAGATAGTTGAAACAGTGAATATCAAGCCCATGCTCCCTCCCAAATACAACACTCACCTTTCTGTTTCATCAGTGGCAGGAGCTTCAAGACGAGGGGAACCGAACATAAAGTTGTTTCGAGCAGCACAAGGTTGAGGACGTTAAGATCAATTTGCGGGCCCTCACTGTCCAGTATGTTTAAACATTAGGAAAATACATACATAACAAATAGCACAACGAAATTTCTAGAATATGTAACTATTTTTCATATTTTTAAATAGGGTGTCTTCCCGAAAGGCAAGATCTCACGTAATATTAGAATCCTTACAGAAGTATCATTCTAATCATAAGATTTACGATATTTCAAACGATTCAGGTGATCATCGGACGAAAACGGCTTGAGTATGTTGTCTGGCGTAGATTGTCAACAAGTTCTTCTGGTTTCTAGAAAAGTTCTTCTTTGTTATTTTTCCTTAATAGTACAATCGAAAGGTAATAATACAACTTTCCACGTGTGAGCAGCTGGCCGTTGGCCAAAAATTAAAATCTTAAACTAGCCTTGAAGCCAACGCTCAGCCTAAACATGCACAGCTAAACTCAACCTCAAAGCTACGAAGTCAACGACAACGCAAAAAACGCATTTCCCCCATTTCTGAAACTGCTCGAGGTCCTGGCGTCGTAAGTCCACAGCCACTTCTTCAGTCATGTAGTCTTCATGGAAGCTACATCCCAACAAGGCACTACCAGCAAACTTACCCCAAATCTCTACCTTTTTGCAGCCAATGATTTTATGCTAGGTCCAGTTACGTTCGTTTTGGATGGAGACTGGAAAGTCGGGGTAAGTGCAGGTAGGAGCATGCTGGGGTGTAGCATCTATGAAGAATGTACAGGCTGGAGCAGTGGCTGCGGACTTGCGGCGTCTATGGCTCTAGGCACTTAACTTCACGGGAAGGTGACGGGGGTATTGGGCAGGAATGGCCACTAACATGCATCTGCTTTCCATAACTATCTCCTACAAGTTGATGCATCTAATTAATACAACACCCATTAAAAATTTTGCTTGCAAACTTTATTTAAATGTCTTAATAATGCGTCATAACGTAACCATTAGAAGCGTACTTGTGATCAGTCTTCATCAATAATAACTATAACCGAATTTTAATCTTAATGGCCGAGCAGTAAAAAATACTGACTCTTCAATACACCAGTATCCAAAATAATTACTGGAACCTGTCCTCAAAATATTCAAAACATTTAAAAGCGAAGAAAACCCCACATAAATTCCCCATATCTCCATTAAAAAGTTTCGGAGTCCAGCTCCATCTTCAGTTCGAAAACACAGACGCAATCAGAAGTTAATACAGTCGAAATTCATCAGTACACAGAAGCTAAACCTAAATTTACAAACAAGAGACATAGTAAGAGAGTACAAATAAAAAAAACAAACATAACCTATCTATTTATAATTTTTTGTGGATAAGAGCTAGAGGCTGCATTTAAAATAGGACTCTCTTTGAAAATATACAATGATTAGAAAATAGGCATAACGGAAGCACCAAAACTGGAAGCTACAACTTTAAAGTTATTGTCGGATACTGGAACGTTGCGCTGTTTGGCGTGAGTACGCACAGTCGAATGAGAAGGGAGCGATAGTAATTGCCTAGTCCTTCAATTCCTCCTTTTATGCTCTGCGATCCAATGGATCGAGTGGCGCCATTCCAACGCACTCGGCTGCACATCGTGCACAACTATATTTACAAACTAAAGACGATCGCATATGACAAGGGATGATATCTTTGTACCTATAGAAAGAACCTATTTTAGAATTGTTCACCAATAATTTCGACTATATTAATTTCTTGATGTATCTGTGTCTTAGATTTTTCGAACTGACGATGGAGGTAGACTGAAACGTTTTCAAAGGAGATATGATGAATTTGGCCGATATTGTCCAAATTCTTCACTTGTAAATATATAGTGAATTTGCGACTGAAGCAATCTAGTAACGTAAAAATATTCTATACAGTAACTAGTCGGAGATGAACAGGTAGCCTGGTAATGGTTGCTTGATAGAGCCAGTAAGACACTGTCTTACAGTGTGCCGTACGCTGGTGACCGTTGCTTGTAAAATGATTCAGCTTGCTCGCTCAACACATTGACTACAACGTACGTCATATATGGTTTTCGCTTTAAAAATGGAACTCTTTAGAAAGTCCTGTAAAACATTAAACCAGATCATCAACTTGTAAAGGATTTGATAGGGTTTTGACAGGATGCTTTTTAAAAAAATATACCAATGCCTGATAACTAAATCCAATCAACCTATGCGCGATTTGGTCATAGAAGCATTTTTTCGCGTGTTTATCTTATTCAGCGGCAATACATATATTAATTTTCAGCGAATTCAGTTACATACACGGATTTTTGTTGAATATAGAACTGATCGTATAGCTCCCTGCATTTACAACAGCAGTTTTTGTCAGCAGCTTGAACAGTTGTCGGTACTACTTCATGTGCCTTCTTGGTGCAGTATTGTAAGACAACTGATATGATTTATAACATTATTATTCATCAGCATTATATTCCAGAATTATTTGCAGCTTGCATTATTTATTACACTCACCAGCATTATTTGCTACACTCACCGAGACAAGAACGGAGTACACTCACCGAGACAAGAACGGAGTACACTCACCGAGACAAGAACGGAGTACACTCACCGAGACAAGAACGGAGTACACTCACCGAGACAAGAACGGAGTACACTCACCGAGACAAGAACGGAGTACACTCAGCGAGACAAGAACGGAGTACACTCAGCGAGACAAGAACGGAGTACACTCAGCGAGACAAGAACGGAGTACACTCAGCGAGACAAGAACGGAGTACACTCAGCGAGACAAGAACGGAGTGCACTCAGCGAGACAAGAACGGAGTACACTCACCGAGAAAAGAATTGCGCACCATCTTCCGTCTCACTGTTATGTCTTTAACTAAAATTATTCAAGTTTGAACGAACGGCATCCTAGCTAAACATTATACCTTGGGAGTCGTTATCCCTTGTTTAAGTTATACCCTTGTCGTTATACCCTTGTTTAAGTTATCTAAATAAAATATTGAAATTCATTAAATTTAATACTGATTTGTATTATTTGAATCTCTTGTTATAGTTGGATCTCGTTTCTAATAAATTTCCTTTTTTTGATTACTTTAACTAACCTACGAGGTGATCTATTGAGCAATTTTTCAAGTGCTAATTCTAATAGTAAATAATTGATAGCTAGAGATTCAATTAATAAATAATTGTAAATAATGCTATCATGTTAATGCCAGCAAATGAACTTGCTTACTTACTAATCATATTGTGCCACAGCCAGTATTATATTGAAAAATGTTATTTCGAGTCGTTCCTTGCTTAGCTTCCACTTCTCGATGGGTAGACCATTGTGCTCGGCTAGTCTAATAATATGTTCTAGAATGATCCAGATTTGTTCGACATTGACGTCGCACGAACCGCAACACTCTTCTCCGTCTTCAATCATCGGGCAGGACCTATAAGGGGCAAGATAAATTAAACTATCCTTCCAGCTTGTACCTGCTTCATCAATCTAGGACGAAGTAAAAGAAAAATAACTAACTTCAAAATTATTCCACTTAAAATCGACAATAATGGTCAGAAAGATATTTGACAGTGATAAATTTCACCATTAATTTTAGTATTGAATAATTAAGTGTAGCTTTTACAGGAACTGACCTGGCGCATCTCATGAACAGTAATATCAGTCGATCGTTCTTGTTATACCCACTCATAAAGATGTTCTTCTTCATGGCAATTATATACCTGAAGAGAAAAATATTTTCGTTTGAACACATAAATTAATCAATGATGAAGCGGATAAGAAGTTAAATCCTTTCCAGACAACAACCACAGGACCAGTAATGCTTTAAGAATATTTTGCCAGTAATCAACTTCTATTAGGTACCTGATAAGAATTTTAGATTTTTCACTCAAATATCAGCATTTGTAGAAATTTACAGCACGATTGAGTCATTCATTGTGTCACTTTAATTATCAAAGAAATACCATGACTTAAAAGAAACAAACGTCTATGAAATACTTCTAAATGCAGGATTTGTTAACAGAATTAATTTTAGAAAAATTGCCTTATGCAAACTCAGAGAAAGAAACTTTGCAATAAGTAGATGCAGGATCTATTCAACAACGCTTACTTGTTCTTATCTGCCCAGTTGATTCCATTATTAGGTTTAAATACATAACGGATAATACGCTCAAATTGCTGCATGTCAAACGCGCAATGATCCAGAATGTACATAGCGCTCTCGTGGTACGACACCGAGACAGCATCAATCAGAACATCCAGCCTATACCTATACCAGAAATAGAACCGGTTATGGAAAATTGAATCAAACATTGCATTTGAATAATGATGAATTCATTTCATTCGGAATATGGACTTATTTCTCGCTTATCAAAATACTTGTGGTTTTGCACAAATCAACATATTTGCATAAGCTGGTTTTCTTAGATATTTGATATTTTGCAGCTATACTAGGGTACTTACTCATAATTCTCAGGGTTAGACAATCCGCTGTTCGGCAATATAGTCTTCAATTGGGCGTCTGTTAGACTTCTATTAGTTATCCAACCATTGAGGTGAGGGCAGTCACATCCTCTACTCAAAAGGTTACTCAGCATTTCGAAATTATACTGAAAATATAAAAATATTACAAATAAAATAAATAAGCTTACAAGAAAGTTGCCATTGTTTCCTTAGCATCTGAATTAAAATCACAGATACAAATCTTGGACGAAACGATTTTAAGGAGTTCCAGACATTGAAAGAAATATAGGCAATTAATTGAGAATTTCATATAGGTGTAATGACCGTTGAGTTCGGTGAAAGGTCAAACGCAAAAGGGGAAGCAAGTAGCAGCTTCACTTTACAAAATCTACAACAGAATGAAACATTATTCATACTCATAAAGGGATGCACTAAAATGCTGGTAATAATCGTGGACAGTTCATTGTGCAGCTGAAAATTGGGACGTATATATTTCACTGAATAAGAAGCTGTGCGCACCCCAGCAAAGAATGTGGCTGGCAGCTCATCGTGCTCAAAATCCGTGGCTGTGGCGTCCGCCCCTGCGTCCAGCATTAGCTCAGCTCCTCGCCACCAGCGTCTCTCCAAGGCTGCAATATAGGCATCTAATAATGTGCATCACTGTCCAATAGGCATCTCTGTCGAGCGCAACATTCTGCTCTTAATTCAAAATAGTTCTGCTCTAATTCAAAAAACAAAGTTCTGCTATAATTCAAAATAGGCATCTAATAATGTGCATCACTGTCCAATTGGCATCTCTCTCAAGCGCAAAGTTCTGCTCTAATTCTTACTTGTCCTTATAAAAGGGGCCCAAGCCAAGCATAACTGAATAATTTTTTGAAAAAGTTAGAAGCACTGTTCAAGCAATAGAAATAAGTTGCATCTCCAAGATGTGACTCATCTACCTAATTTTGTTGTTATTAATCTGACCATTAGGCAGATTTTATCACGGCTCTCACCGAGCTAAAAGCATCAAGAATTGCGTATATAGATTGCATATAACATATTGATAAAAACTCCTTAAATGCATTCCTAACTAAAGCTGGAGCAATTATTAATGTGACATACCGCACAATAAGGGCAGGGAAAATGGATCTTTTTCAGGCAGGTTAGGATTTGCCCCAGCATGTAGAAGGCTCGCCAATATTTCTTCCTGAACAAATAAAAATTGAGTGAAGTGAACTCAAGATGGAGTATCAAAACAGGCCGATAAGACACAACTGCTATTATACAGAGAAATAGAATTCATCAACTTAGCAGCAAAATTAGGAGTAAACAAAAATAAGCAGTTCTAGTCTAAGTTTTGGACATCATAGAGATGCTGCAGTGACCTGACTATTACCCTACAAGTGTGAATATTTTTATACAGACTGAACTATAATATAAATTTATTTTAAAAATTCAGCAAATATTTACTTCTTATAATCACGATCATGCACATGAAAATAATCTTCAGAGTTTGGTCTGTTTCATGTTTAGTCATAGGCAGGCTAAATAAAAAGCATAAGAAACACTTCAAGACCCATCCTAGTCACCTCCAGGTCTGAGGCTGAGTAGTTTTTACAGAGCAGCAGCAGAGCAGTGGATCGATCATGACTCTCCATGTTTATGCACCTTTTATCTGCAATGAACATTAAACGATAATGACTAACAACAAAAGATAAAAATTATTCATCAATATCAACATCAGAATTCAATGAGTATTGAATAGAAGAATTAAAATTGCTAAGAATCACCTAGCCAAGAAGGAATGGAACAGTAACAGAAATAACTCCACCTCTATAGGGGGTAGTTTTATCCTGTTAATATTTAATGCATTGGTTGATACCACAACATGCACATAAATCTCCAAGCCAAGAAGGACATTGAAAGGAAGTGCAAGGAACTCCCAACTGCAAACAACTTGACCTCCTCATTTGTAACTTGCACTTGGTTGAGAAAGCACTAAGCCACTACTAAGAGCTCAGTGGTGGCATGGTCAGGAACAATGTTACTAGAATGAAATGCCCCATGGGCATTCCAAGGCACTAAAGTATGCAGAAGAATATCATCCAGAAGTTTTAGAACAGAAGTAGAATATCTGAATAACAGATGCAAAATAACAAAAACAGTAATGCAAGTCCCAATTAGAAGGATAAATTTAAATTGACAAGATGAATTATTAGTAAATTGGACTTGAAATAATTAATTGAAAATTCTTCTCCAAAAGAGTATATCACAGACAATTACATTTTTCAATTCATAATAAAAAATCCAAAATGTGATACCAGCAGCTTTAATACCTATTACTGGAAAATAAATCATGAGTGAAGCAAAATTTTTTCAATTTGATCTAAAGTAGTTACAGGTGGCATTAGCAATTTCCAAGAAAGAGTAACATCAGTAACCACGATCTACCAAACCTAAGTTCACAATTCCAGTTTTCTCAACAAGTTAAAACTCTTCTGCTTGATCTGACTCCAAAAGATCTTGATATAGGTAATAGTCAGTCGTCAAGGATACAAAACTAATTTACTCTAATTATTTTTTTCATTTCACTCAAATTTTCAAACTTCCCAAAAGTTGACCATTGACTTCATTAGTGTTGCTTGCAACATTAAATTTTGCCACTCTGAAAATTAATTTGGACTCGAAATAAGAGCTACCATCAAACGGGGTAAAAAGGGACGGGCGAGGTAAATCGGGACACGCGTCCAACATTTTGTCAAAATGTTGTAGCAGCTAAACTAATCAAAATATTGCAAAACTAAAATTAGTGGCATAAACTTCAATATTTTTACTATTATTTATAAAGCTAGTTAAGAAATCAAACATTTACTATCTCTAAAAAATTGCTGAAAAAAAGTGTGAAAAGTGCGATTTTGGAAAAGTACCTCTGTAAGGTCTGGAGCGAAAAAAATATTTGCCTTATTAAAAAATTTTATTTACATAAAAGTTGCACCCAGGTGTCGGCTTGAAAAGTAATTGACGGAATTTGCCTATCTATTAAAAAAAATGGCAGTAATTTCCGCACGGCCGGGCTACTCGGGACACCTCCTCCCCCGGGGTAATTAGGGACACCCTTAAAAATGCATTTATGGTAACCTCAGTTAGCAAAGGTTCCAGTTAACAAAAAAAAAAAAATTGATTAACAACAAAGTATTTTGATTACATTTACCTTGCTCAACAAAAAAATCCACTTATCAAAAAATTAGTGCATCATCGGTCATCACAAAATTGTACATAGAATGCTACATATAGAATTGTGCACTGGGCATCATAGAATGGAAAGTAATTGACCTAATCTATGATTCATTTCTCCAAAACATATGATGGTTGTCACTAAAACATTATTTTCTGTTTCAGGTATGTTTTTCACGATCTCTTTTGTTATACTGAAATCACTTGACTGGATTAAAATTGTGCAAAATTACAAACCATCCTGTAAGCTTACAGATACAAAAGAAATGCTACATGGCATGTCCATGGATACAGTACTATCACATTAATAATATGGTAATTAATGAATTTGGTAATATAATCTCAATAAAGGAAAAACAAGTAAAAATCACAGAAAAATGTCATTTATTTTACATCTACATCATCTACAATGAAAGAGGAGAACTTCAAAGTACTGTTAGTAATGGATGAGTACACTCTGCATGCTTCAAACGTTTTAAAATTAACTTTTATTGCAAGTGTCCCGGATTACCCCGTTCCCAGGGGTAAATCGGGACGGTTTTATTTTGCGGCTGGCACCTTACAAATAGCATATGGAATTTTTTAAGATGCCATTAGATAGCCCTCGCATAGAGCTATAAAATGAGCCTAAACTTGTTGCTGAAATGTTTCATGGTAAGAAGTTATTAACAAAAAACGCTCAAAACCATCCCTTTTTACCCCGTTTGACTGTACGGAGGGTAAATTAGCTATGAAAATATGTTACACTAAAAAATTTAGAGCTCACAAGTATATATTGTACTACCGAAATATCCAACATAAATTAGGTTCTACAAAAAAATTTTTTGCAAAGAAATGAAATCTTACATGTACAATAGGCTGTATATTTTCTTATAGGAATGGGAATTTAAACCGAACCATTGGTCATCCTATAATTGAACAAAAATATTAGTAGTTTACTTTGTGAAGCAATAAAATAACCCCAAGACATCATCAATGAATTACACACAAGCTAGTACTCAAGTACTAGGCATACCATCAGAGCCAGCATTTTGTACAGGCTGGATCAAACTTCCATTTTCTACTTAGGCTTCAGAATTGTGTGAGACTTCAAGTTCACCCTCAACTATTTTCAGTTTAATTTTTACACAAATAATAATGAATAGATGAATTATAACTCAATTACCTGCATACATGAGAAGTTTCTTCACCGTTGCAAGATCCTTGTACAAAACAGCATGATGAAGAGCAGAGTAGCCCTGTTGGTCAGGTGTGCAGAGGCTGTGAGTGATGTCATGCCCATGACTCAACAGTGAGGCTATGACTTTCTGCAACAAAAAATTGTGGGTGTAGCCAGAAGCTATAATACCGGTAGCTGTTTTGCATTCAATCCATGCATTATTAATTCAATTTTACAAAGCTTAAAATCTCACTTTTCACACGTTTTTCAGGGATTTTTTAGAGGTAATAAATATATGATTTCTCAACTTGGTTTATGCTGCATAGATAGTAAAAATATTGAAATTTATGCCACTATTTTTAATTTTGCAATATTTTGATTAGTTTAGCTGCTACAACATTTCTACAAAATGTTGGAGGACTGTCCCTTTTTACCCTGCCCGTCCCTTTTTACAGTACACTCTGCATGCTTCAAGCATTTTAAAATTAAGTTTTATTTCAAGTGTCCCAGATTACCCTGTTCTCAGGGGTGATTTGGGATGCTTTTATTTTGCATCTGGCACCTTATGAATAGCATATGAAATTTTTTCAAATATGCCATATAATAGCCCTTGCAGAGCTTTAAAATGAGCCCGAATTTCTTTATGAAAAGTTTCATGGTAAGAAGTTATTGACAAAAAATGCTCAAAAGCGTCCCTTATTACCCCATTTGATGGTATGTACTGATTGTAGGTAGGTACTCTCTTCCTGTACTTGATACATAATAAAAATCAAAATAATAGCAATAAAGGCTAACAAAGTATTTAAATTTTTTCACATACAATCGGAGAATTTCTTGAAATAGAATTAAAATTATTTAAAATAAAACTCATAATTATAGTTCAATTTTATGTATAGGCAGGTTTCACACTTTTCCTAGAATCATGAACTGGAGGTTCCGAGACTCTCAGCAAGGCAAGCCCTCAAATCTGTTAACTTGAAGAGGCTTACATACAAATAAGGTGGACAGCAGAGTCATCAATTACACTTCTCCATAGAAGGCAATCTGTGATGATTATGGCAAGTGGTAAATGATTGATATGTACAACAAAGCTATGAAATTGATGTGGAAAATGGATACCAAAACAATGGAAAATGTGAAATTTAATGGAACATTGGAGATTGTTAGCAAATAGCTTAGCAAATGGAGCAGGATGCAACACATGCATCACCCACATGAGTATGTATCAACTACACTAATAGTCATCTGTCTGAAAAAAGTAGTAGTAAAAAAGTGGTAGTAAAAAGTAGTATTAAAAAAGTAGTATGTAACACAGCTCGAATTTTAGCCTCTGCTGCTTTTGAAGGCAATTGGAATAGAGGCAAATCTCCTCAACTCACGCTGGAAGTCAATTTTTGGAGACAGCATAAACACTACATAAATTAACCAAGTAAATAACTCCATTTCAAGTGTTTTATCATCAGTTTTCCGGAAAATGTTAGTGAAAACACTACCTACTTTGCTTTATACTACAAGGTAATAGCATTTAGCCTAGCCAGTCTTCAAAGTAAGGCAACATAGGACAAGGTTGCCAATAAGTATTAAAATCACTTGTTTGCTTAAATCGCAAGTTAACTAGGAATTTAAAAGCAAAAACAATACCACAAAAATTCACCATATCTTTATAAGAGAAAACATTTCGGAGTCCAGCTCCATCGTCAGTTTACAAAATTCAGTTCAGAAGAAGTTCAGATCTAGAAACACAAATACAATCAATTAGTAGAGTAAAAGGCACTGTTGGGTTTAAAACGGAGAATAAATAAATAAGACATGAAATTAACACTAATAAACGGCATATCTATTTACTATTTCAAGAGGAACGGAGCTAAAAGCAGCATTTAGACTAGGCTTCTGCTTGAATATATATAGGGATTCTAAAATGCGTAGATCAGTAACATCGGATGCGGAAGCTAGAATTTTAAAATCATCGGATACAGAGGTGTTGCACTGCTCAGCATGAACACGTACAGCAGAATGAGGTGGATGTGCAAGTAGGTTCCCCGTCCTATAACTCCTGCCCATATGCTCAGCCAGCCTAATATAGAAATTGTGTGACGTCATACCAACGTACGCTGATGCGCACTGCGCACAACTATATCTGTAAACTAGTGACGATCGCATAAAAACAGGCAGGGTCAAAGGGTATGTCAAAGGAATTAAAAGTTTTATTTGCTAAATATCTTCCGGATGTAAATCTTCATGTGTTGCTAGTTAACAATTTTAGAATCAGCTCGTTTTTCAGGGTTAAGGATACCCTACCTGTTTTTATGCGATCGTCACTAGTTTACAGATATAGTTGTGCGCAGTGCGCATCAGCGTACATCGGTATGACGTCACGCAATTTCTATACTAGGCTGGCTGAGCATAAGGGCAGGAGTTATAGGACGGGAGATATAGTTGTGCGCAGTGCACATCAGCGTACATCGGTATGACGTCACGCAATTTCTATACTAGGCTGGCTGAGCATAAGGGCAGGAGTTATAGGACGGGGAACCTACTTGCACATCCACCTCATTCTGCTGTACGTGTTCATGCTGAGCAGTGCAACACCTCTGTATCTGATAATGATTTTAAAATTCTAGCTTCCGTATCCGGTGTTACTGATCTACGCATTTTAGAATCCCTATATATATTCAAGCAGAAGCCTAGTCTAAATGCTGCTTTTAGCTCCGTTCCTATTGAAATAATAAATAGATAGGCCGTTTACTAGCATTAATTTCATGTCTTATTTATGTATTCTCCATTTTAAAACCCAACAGTGCCTTTTACTCTAATTGATTGTATTTGTATTTCTAGATCTCAACTTCTTCTGAACTGAATTTTGTGAACTGACGATGGAGCTGGACTCCGAAACGTTTTCTCTTATAAAGATATGGTGAATTTTTGTGGTATTGTTTTTGCTTTTAAATTCCTAGTTAAGGTTGCCAATTAATTACCTAATGACACCAAGGCATGATTGTGGTGGGGGGTGGATGTCAATTATTCTTCTACATGATAACAATTCAAGTTAATATGGCTGACAGTGAATGAATGATACAGATAGTAGTGAATTAGGATTGATGGTAGACAGAGATGCCAATAAATGCTAATAGACAGAGACTATGTTGCATATAGTGCTTGAGGACTATTGAGTATTGTGATTTGTATAGTGTTTATTAACTAGTGATAGGGAGTGGGGAGCACAGGACAGGCAATGATGCACAAAATTGTCAGGCAGCTGAAAAATATAAAAATTAAAAATCAATGCTGTGCCCATAATGTGACTTTGAAGCTAGACAGGCTATAACCTGTCATGCCAAAATGTAGAGATTAGCTTGAGGCACTCATGTTATAAGCAATAACTGAATAATGAACAAACATTTTGGAAATTAGGGACTAATAATGTATTCTAGTAACTTGAGTTGTGTGAAACTACATAGTGAGACAACAATTTATTATAAGTAATAAACACCTGAAGGAAACAACATTGGATGTGGGTTTGATACAATAATGCAAGGGAAATCATACAGGTGAGACCAGAACCACATAAACATCATGTCTGTGAACACTTGTAACAGAAAGTTTACTAAAGTGTTGTGCTCAAGTAGTGTAATAAATAATGCAAATGATTACAAGAGATGTGGAAAGTAACAAAATTAAGAAAGATTTGTACATACTGACAAATGGGGTAAATAGGGACAGTTTTGAGCATTTTTTGTTAATAACTTCTTACCATTGAACGTTTCATAAACAAGTTTGGGCTCACTTTAAAGCTCTTTGCAAGGGCTATTGAATAGCATCTCCAAAAAAATTCCATATGCTATTTGTAAGGTGCCAGATGTAAAATAAATGCATTCCCAAATTACCCCTGGGAATGGGGTTATCCAGGACACTTGAAATAAAACTCAATTTTAAAATGTTTGAAGCATGCAGAGTTTACTCATCTTTGTAGATGATGTAGATGTAGAATAAATGACATTTTCTGTGTTTTTTACTCGTTTTTCCATTGACATATTACCATATCAATACATTATCATATTATTGATGTGATATTACTGTATCCATGAACATGCCATTGTGCATTTACAACGACCTTGTCATATCAGCAGCCTTCATATCGGCAGCCATGTAGCATTTCTTCTGTATCTGTAAGTTTACAGGATGGCTTGTAATTTCACACCATTCTAATGGGATCAAGTAAATTCACTATAACAAAAAAGATTGTAAAAACATTCCTGAAACAGAAAGGAATATTCTGGTGGCACCCATAATATTTTTCAGAGAAATAAATCATAGTTTAGGTTAATTACTTTTCATTCTATGATGCCTGGTGCATATTTCTACATATGACATTCTATGCACAATTTTGTGATGACCGATGATGCATTAATTTTTCGTTAATTGAACTTTTTTTTCACTGAGTGAGGTAAATGCAATGAAAATTTTTTGTTGTTAATTGATTTTTTGGTTAACTGGATCCTTAGCTAGCTGAGGTTCTATTGTAAGTGCATTTTTACGGGTGTCCCTTATTACCTGTCTTGCAGAAACAACCGCCTTCTTTTTGGAATGAGATATGCAAATTCCATTAATTACGTTTTCAAGCTAACACCAGTGTGCAAGTTTTATGCAAGTAAAAATTTTTAATGCGACTAACATTTTTTTCTACAGACCTTACCAGGGGTATCTACTCTTCCAAAATCTCACTTTTCACATTTTTTCAGGGATTTTTCAGAGGTAGTAAATGTATGATTTCTTAACTTGCTTAATGCTACATAGATAGTAAAAATGTTGAACTTTATGCCAATATTTTTAGTTTTGCAATATTTTGATTACCATCAAATGGGGTAATAAGGGACAAGCGGGGTAATAAGGGACAGTCCTCCAACATTTTGTAGAAATATTGTAGCAGCTAAACTGCTAAACTAATCAAAATATTGCAAAACTAAAAAATGGTGGCATAAAGTTAAATATTTTTCCTATCTATGTAGCATAAAGTAAGTTAAGAAATCTTACATTTACTACCTCTAAAAAATTCATGAAAAAAGTGTGAAAAATGAGATATAAGAAAAGTACCTTTGCTAAGGTCTGTAGCAAAAAAAAATATTCACCGTATTAAAAAATTTTAATTGCATAAAAGTTGCACACAGGTGTTGGCTTAAAAATGCAATTTATGTGATTAGCATATCTCATTCCAGAAAAAATGGCAGCCATTTCCCCATGACGGGGTAATAAGGGACACTTACAGTAGAGCCTTGATTGGCAAAGGCTCCAGTTAACAACAAAGAATTTCAAAGAACAAGCAAAGAACAGTTAACAACAAAGAATTAGATTTACCTCCCTCAGCAAAAAAATTTCACTTGACAAAAAATTAGTGCATCATTGGTCATCGCCAAACTGTGCATTGAATGTCATAGACAGAATTGTTCACTAGGCAAAATGGAATGAAATGTAATTAACCTAAACTATGATTTTTTTCTCAAAAAAGATGATGGTTTTCACTAAAATATTCCTTTGTGTTTCAGGTAGGTATGTTTTTTACCGTCTTTGATATAGTGAATTCAGTTGACTCAATTAAAATGGTGCAAAATTACAAGCCGTCCTGTAAGCTTACCTACAGAAGAAATGCTACATGGCTGCTGATATGAAGCTTGCAGTGGACAAGGTTGTTGTGAATGCTCAATGGCATGTCCATGGATTAGGTAATATCACATCAATAATACCGTACTAATGTATGGAGAAGGTAATATCATATCATTAAAGGAAAAACAGGCAAGAATAACAGGAAATGTCATTTATTCTACATCTACATCATCTACAAAGGAAGAGGAGGACTTCAGAGTACTGTTAGTAATGGATGAGCACACTCTGCATTCTTCAAACGTTTTAAAATTGAGTTTTATTTCAAGTGTCCCTTATTACTCCATTCCCTGGGTTGGTTCGGGAGGTTTTTATATTGTGTCTGGCACCTTACAATAAGCATATGGAATTTTTTCAGAGCTGCCATAAAACAGCCCTTGCAAAGACATTTAAAATGAGCCAGAGCTTGTTTACAAAATGTTTCATGGTAAGAAGTTATTAGGGAAAAACGCTCAAAACCATCCCTTATTACCCCGTTTGATGGTAGTTTAGCTGCTACAACATTTCCACGAAATGTGGGACAACTGTCCTGATTACCCCGCCCGTCCTTTATTACCCTGTTTGACGGTAAATTGTCCAGAAGAGCTTCACTTACCCAACAGTATTGCAGAGTTAACTTGATGCATTAAGCTGTCTTAGCAGCATTCTAGTTACTGACTTGAATGGAATTTTTCTAATGCATCTGTTCCAAAACAACATGGGACACAAGGATTTATCATGTATGAAAATTTAATCAATGACAATGCAGGTCCATGAAGGTTGCTTGTGCCATGTTTTCCGTTATTTCCTTAACTGGCATAGGAAGAAAGTCAATGCAAATCATATCATTCAGGTCCACCCACGGAGGGATGGGTGACACCAGCGGAGCAGCAATGCCCACAGGAGGCTTCACTCCCAACAGGTTCGAGTACACCGGTATCCGGCTTTTCAACGGGGGAACAAGGATGTTGCCCACCCATGGCAGTCCTCTTGGTGCTGGGTTTGTATATACCAGCTCATTTTTTTTTTTTTTAATTTGATCTGAAGACTTCGGGTATGCAGGTAGCACACCTCCCAGCCTGAGCACAACTCAGATTTTGATCACTCCACTTCACTTGTTGATTTCACTTTTTATTTCTCTTTCAGCACTTCCACCAACCAGTGTGGCAGTAAANAAGGACTCTTTTTTGGATTTCTTGATTTCTTGCTTCACGAGTGCCTCTGCTCTCCGGAGTGCTATCAGGTTGGCCAGTATGGGGTGGTTCTTTAACTTATTTCTGGCAGCATGTCTTTGTTTGACAAGGGCAGCACAGGTCTCATTCCACCACGGCTTGGAGTATTTCAGAGTCACTACTTCCCGGGTCTTTCTGAACACACTTTCAGACATTTCAATCAGCCTTGTTGTAAAAGTTGTCACCTCCTCTCCAAAATCTCCGCTTCTCTGGGCAGGTCCCAAGGCTGCCTTCCATGTTCCCCAGCTCTCGGGTTTAAAAATCCACCTTGGCCTAGCTCTGAAAGTTGTTATGGCAGGGTTATAGTCAAGTGTAATGAGCACCGGCTCATGGTCACTCCCCATCTCATCCTCCAGCACCACATTGGCACTGGGTACCAAATCTGTGGACACAAAACACAGGTCAAGTGTGGAAAAGTTGCCTGTTTGGACATGGAAATAGGTAGGTAGGGAGCGAGGTGTTATCAAACAAAGGTTTGGGAATTCTGCCATGCTATCAACTAGATTGACACCTGTCCTATTGCTGTGTGTTCTCGTATCCCACATGTGATGGTGGGCATTGAAGTCCCCAACCACAACACAAGATGGAGTTAGCTGCTGAAAATATGAGCAAAATTCTGCGCTGGAAATTAATGCATTTGGATTATAAATGTTAAGTATTGTGAGACTAGAGTTGCGCCTGTATATTTTAACAGCCTGGACATCCAGCTCACCATTTACATAAGTTATCAGGGGGGCGATTGTACAATTCACATCATTTCTTACAAGTATGGCTAGACCCCCACCAGGCCTGTCCTGCCTATGCCTGTAAAATGCAGTATAGTTTATAAATGACGGCTCTCGAGATTCCTTAAGCCAAGTTTCGCACAGACACACCACATGCGGTTTAGAGGAATACAGCCTGACCTTGAAGCAAGATAGTTTAGTATATAAACTGCGGCAATTCCAGGCTAGAATCCTTAGGGCCTCCTCAGTCATTTTGCTGATTTCTGGCGTCCCCTGATCCCTCTTGATCCAATACCCACAGAGTGAGAGAGAGCTTTGCCTCCCTCTGAGCCCCTACCAGATGGGTTGCCCCTACTTACATCCCCAGTACTTGATCTAGCACCTTCAAGTCCCGCACTGTGAGTGACCCTCTCAATTTCCTGGATAGAGGTACTTTGACTCCTATCATAAAAACTTGGATCTTTAGATTTCTGTTTAGTTTTCTTCTTCCTAGAGGCAGGAGAGGACTCTGGATTAGTAACCATTATATCATTTATTGGAGTCAGTGAAAGGTTCTCCTGCTCACTACTCTGCTGGGAGTACTCAGCCTCATTTGGGCTTGAGTCTAATGCTGCATTGACTACATTTATCAAGTTGCCCGGCTCACACATTATTCTGCCAGACGGTGTCTGCATATTCAGCACAATTTTAAGGACTAAGACAACAATTTTTGATATTTCCTCACGCTGGAGAGCTCCCTGACCATTAGAATATGCATTATCCTGACAAGTTTGGGTTCCCACCTCTGCTTTTTGGATTGGGGTGTTGTCGGCTGGGGTCGTCCCTGATGCCTGGTACCGAAGGCGAGGTGTGGTACTCCAGTTCTGGGAGGCTTGGGCTGGAAACTCAGCAGGGCCCTGGGGGTCAGCAGTCACTCCCTCCGAAGTTCTTTGGCCTGTCCATGTAGGACTTTTTGCTGACCGAACAACCTGTAAAGCATCACGGTAAGATAGTTTCCCAGAAGCTCGGACTTGCTCCACTTCTTTTGCTTTTTTCATAAAGGGGCATCCACCGTAACTGGATGTATGCACTCCACCACAATTTGCACACTTGGGTGTTGCAGTGCTTTTGTTTGGGCAATTGGACACACTGTGGGGGCCTGAGCACACTACACAACGCACCTTGAATCTACAATGGGCTGCATTGTGACGAAAACCTTGGCACTTGTAACATTGCCAAGGCTCATCTACATATAATCTAACCTTAAATCGTTGATAGCCTACTATTACGTATTCTGGGAGTTCCTGGCCAGAAAAGGCTATCTTCAAGCACTTAGTAGGTATCTTGTCCCTGCCTTTGACTATCCTAGATACAGCTTCCACTGTTGGTCTCATATTAGATAGCAACTGAAGAACTTCAGCAGGATCTGTTTCTTCCCCAATAGGCCCTATGACTCCACAGATTCTCTGTCTATTCTGTGGTAATCGACAGTGAACTGGAAAAGCACCAATAGACTTTATTGCTAGCAGCTCTTTGAGCTTTGCCTCAGGAACTTCCTTTATAGTCACTATCAAAAGATTTCTGCTCCTATTTTTGCTCACTGATAAAATTCCAACCTGACCCAAGGCTGAATTTGCCAGATCTCTGGTCAATCTTACCTCATTGGCAAAATATGCCCCAGCTGCCTGAATGCCACCATCTGGCTCCACTAGTATTACCCTTGAGGTTTCCTCTGTTCCTTTAGCCTGAGAGTACTCCCCAATCAGCTGAACTGGTTTTTCCACCATGCCTGCTAAGGAGGAAGGAGATTGTTCTTGATTAGACTGGAAATTTGCCATTGGGTTTTTTCTAATACCTACAGGGGAGAATCCATGGAAGGACTCCCTAGAGTCTGAACGCTTGCTTGGACCATGGTCAAAGTTTCCAGTTGCTTTCCGCTTTCGGTTCACTAGAGCTAAGGGACTTGCATTAGTAAGCGACCCTACAGCTACAGGTGAGTTTTCTTGAGGGTTAGGACTTTCATCTTCAATGGATGGTCCCACCAGGGCCTCCACATGCTTAGCAGCACTCTCCTTGGAAACACAGCTAGTCCCAGGTAGGCTTGGTAATGGCCATTCTGCATAATCTGAATCTCTATTTGGGGAGACATATTCATCCACCCCAGCTAGGGATCCCAAAGAGTTCTCACCACTAGACTCAGACTCCTCTATCACTTTCCTGTTACTTGACACGATTCTTGCCACACTATCACTATGGCTATGGGTCTGCTTTAAGGTACTCCCACCTACTGTTGCCAGTTGTGTCTCGGACACCATTGATGAATTTAATAGGGAGAGTCTATCTCTGTCCTCTCCCACTTCCATCCCTGAAACTGAAATGACTTCATCATACGATGCTAACAATGGCGCAGGCGATCCACTTAAACCTGGAGAATTAGGATGATAGGATCCATTCTCTATTTAGATCTTTTACCTACCAAATAATGGGGAAAGTTAAAATTTCTAATCGATTATTTAACTACAGAAGCGAAAATTTTATTTCAGTTTTTACTCACGGTAGATCAGCTTAGGACACGTCCTTACCCAACCGTCCTTTTTAGATGATTTGCAGCACTACAAAGTACAAACTACAGTGCCAAGTGCCAACAGGGTGAAAACAGCTGACTCCTGTCCTCCAACGGGGGAAACGTCTAAATATATCACAGCAAGAGCAAAGTCTTGGACACTTTTTACGTAGAAATACATAATATTACCGAGATAATAATACATATATTGACTCTTGAAGTATTTAAATTCAAATGACTAGATATTTTAAACTTTTTACTTGGGAATGGGACATGAAAGACACGCTCGACGAAAAATTATATGACTGATGAAAAAGTTGTTTCAGATGACATTATTGATATAGCTCGATGAAATCCAAATAAACCTCGTTGCATTAATAATAACGTTCTTTATACTTTGCAGCATCTAGCGACTTTTTCGGAAGCTGTTATTACCTCCGGATGGTTGCAACTTGCATTGAACTGAATTCAACACGACCTCTCGCTGAGTCTCGTCTCTCGATTTAGTTGCGCGCCATATGCAAGTGAGGTTGGGTGTGTGCTCGTGCTCTCTGCAAGACCCACCTTGAATTGCTTGCTCCACCTTTCCTTTGTCACGCTTGGATTTTTGACGTGATGTTAACATTTATCAATGTGTTGAATATATATTGAAGTTCACTATCATACAATCCAGACTTAGTTTTATGATGTGCATACCAAGAAGCGCATTACTATACATTTTTCCGTTTTCGAAAATCCGACCCTTCATCTCTGATCAATGACTGGACTCTGGAGGAACGTGGCGTGTCAAGTGGCACTATTGCACCCAGACGAATAATGCAAGAAATAAAAGGGCTCCTTTAGTTAGGCGACCCTGAAATTCTGTAATCTTATTTCTATATCTTTCATTTGTGTTCTTTCGGTACTTATTTTCATCTACCAATGCGTCGTATGATGCTGAATCTCTAAAAGATTTCTTTAAAGAGTAATTTATAGCAACATAGAACACGATGTAATTGTTATTTGTCGTATTAAATTAATCCCCTTTATTTTACCATAATTTACTATTTAAAATATGTTGATCGATGTTTATAAATTGTAAACGATGACCATATATTTTAAAGTGAATGTTAACGTCGGCCAAATAACACATTACTGCTTGCCTATCTACGTTAGTGTCAACTATGAAGTAGTGATTTACATTTTGGAGATGAAAAACTGTTTTTGACTACTTGCGGTATTTCCCAACGTATATTGAGTTCGAACGATTTCTTGAATCATAACTTCCCTAGAAATTTGAAAGCAATTAAAATTCCGCAAAAATCCATCATATATTCGTAGAAAACGTTTCGGAGTAATTTTTGGTGAATTTTCTTTCATTTTAAATTTCAAGAAAGTATCGCATTTTTAGCCCACGGAGAATGGTATCCATATTTAACTATCATCTCTATATGTATTAAATTCAGTGTTTTTTCCCGTTCTTTAAATTAATCACGAGATAATCCTTTCCCTTTCTTCCATTCAAATGCTACAAGAAAG